TCTCTCTCTCTCTCTCTCTCTCTCTCTCTCTCTCTCTCTCTCTCTCTTTGAGAATCTTGACTCTGAATACATCCGCTGTTACTCAGCTCTATCCCTATTACTAACTTATACGGCTATGGCCGCCTTCCCTCTCAGTGCAGTGCTGCCCAACAGGGCTCTCGCGCGCATGCTACTCGCAGATAGCGCACAAGCGCTTCAGCAGCACTTATGCACTTCTCACGAATGAGCTTCTCCCGTCAAATGTGGCTGGCCAGTCCTTATAGTCACTTGGACTGAGCCTCAACTCGTCCCAGCCTCTGCTTCTTGGGGCTTGACTTGGTTCTGGTACCACATGCCCACGTCCTGTTTGCTTCAGAATGTCAAGGCCTGGTACTTTCCCGAGTTTCATTGGTGTGCTGCTGCTTGGGACTAGGAGTCACAACTTTTCGTCTGTGGAAAATGATTCTCGACTGTGGAATGTGAGCCTTGCCCCTGGGGCACGACTTTCACCTGGAGAAGTGTCCTTTGCCTGTGGAATATGACTTTTCAATATGGGACGTGACTTTTGCTTACAGAATGCAACCTTTGCCTCTGGGATGTGACTGTTCACCGGGTGCCTGTTGGACTAGACTCCTAAGGTACCCGACTGTGACCTTCCTGAACTGGCCTTCCTTGGCCTTCCTTGGCCTGAGAATGATGGGGTCTGCATCGTGGAATGCCTTTCAATAAGTACCAATGATAGGTAATCCGTATAACTCAGACCATTCCCATATACATCTTACCCTCCTCGTGCTATTGTATTCTGCGCTCTGTCGCGTGCTCTCTTTCTTGCCCCTTATTGTTTTCCGTTCATGTAATTTTTACTCTCCTCGCTTTTCTCCCATCTCCCCGCACCCAGTTTCACACGAATTGTCGACTTAGAGAGCTCAGCCTTTTTGGTTACTATTGATCTAGCTGTTTCATACCTCTGTATCTAATTTACTTTGCTATTGGGTTGGCATCGACTATTGGCGATTAGGGAGGAGGCTTCTGTTTGTGCCTGTGGTTGAGTAGTCCAGACTGCCGTCTTCCCCCAAATCATGGGCCCAATGGAACATACGGTCATTATAGCTGTATTTGGGGCAACTTACAGTTTCGATACAGCAATAATGACTCTGAGTTCTTTCTACTTGGGTGACGAGGGGGTGACGAGGGGGTGACGAGGGGGGCTTCCCCCTCTGTGCTACCTCAAGAGTATTTTCTTCCTACTTTGATTACAAATGTTTTGCGTTCGCCTACTTCTTCTTTGCTGAGGCTGCTAGAAGTACCCTTGCCGCGTTTTTATTTTAACCTAGACGTACACTTGCCGCGTTTTTATTTTAACTGTGATCATTAGACTGACCCTTCCACAGGTCCTCCTACCTCCAGTTCTGTCTTCCCTATTGGGATACCCAGTTCTGATTCTGTGTCATTACCAATATCTGAGGCCATACTCACACTACCTTCTACACCTGAATACACTGTACGGTCACTATAGCTGTATTTGGGCTATCTTCTTCTTTTTTTCTTCTTTTTCTTCTTCTTCTTCTTCTTCTTCTTCTTCTTCTTCTTCTTCTTCTTCTTCTTGTTAAAAAAAAAGACAAGACTGCTTCTATTCTGGGAGCAGCAGTCTGACGGCAGCATTGATTATTTCCTTTTGGGGGAAGGACATACCACCCCTGACCTCTGCCTAAGTTAGCCTCAGTCTAAATATAGCAATAATGACCGTACGTTGTATTCGGGCGAAGAAGGTAGCACTTTTATAAATGTATCTGACTGCAATTACGCTTAGACCTTGATGCATCTAACTGGAGCTGCTCTGTACATGCATTGGGATTAGCTTGACCGGAAGGCTGGCTAGTTTGACTGGTTGTGTTCTGATGATTTGCAGC